GGATTTGCGTTTGCTGAAAAGTAACAGAGCTATAGTCTGTCCCATCAAATTTGAACATTCCATTTTTTATTTAATATAATAGTAAAATCATTTAAATTAATGTCATGTTAACCCTGACGTCAATATCTCTAGGCATGTTTTTCATTTTTTTCATAAAGTCACGAATGTTGTCAAAATGCTAAAATTATATTTTTTCCCGTTGACTTACGTTGTAACCTGACGTGACGTCCATTTCAAAATGGCGGCGCCCATAAAGACGTCATTTAGGGTTCGTCTCACAATTAGCGTGAAATATACTCGGTAATTATAAAAAAAATATTATCCTTATTCACTTACTGGTCAATAGCTAAAGGTTATCATTAAAATGAAAAATGACAACAAAGTTGAAGTCAAAAAGGCAATTTTACTAGCAAACCATTATTTAAAATAATCAAAATCATTTGAAGTGAAAATATCAGTAAGGTTTATAAATTCTAACACACAAAGATTTAATTAGTTACCATGATATAATGTCGTATTTCATATTTTTTTAAGAAAGTGATTTGATTATAGCTTTCCAATCAAGCGCGTATCTTGAATACCGCAACGCGTCGAAGGGGAGCGGGAAGCTAGAAGACTATTAAATGGTTCTCGCTAATCAATGTTTAATTTAAATAATTCTGTAGTTGTCTGAATTCTGTCCATTAGTGTGCATCACGTCTATTCAAAAATTAATAAATTGACCACGTTCGATGGGATACAAAAATATGTTACCCTTCTTATTTCGGGTGCGATGTTCGTGCGCTAAAACTTTCCGTAGGTTTCAACTTTCACAAGAAAACGCCAACAAATACTACATTATCATGCAAATCTGACAAAAAAATATTAAGAAAACTGATTCACTATACGTTCAGCATTGGTTTGCTTGTTACCACAGTGTCTACTTTAACTAACTCCGTCGCTAACGGGAGAACACAGACTCGCGTTCGGGGAAAATGTAAATTATAAGAATATAATATCATGCTTTCTAGTTTAAGCAATCAAACGTAGGCCTATTCACTTTAAGCTCGTAAATACATGTTTAACTTTCCGTCTCGCAATTCAACAAAATGTCCAGAAATACCGGCAGTAATTTGATATTATTAAGAGAAGGTTTGAATTGGAGTGTTCAATAAGCGACAATAAGTGGTTTTTTGTAGACACAAAATGTTACATGTATATGTTAGTGTTCATCCGTGCTGTTCTACAGAATTAGAAACTTCGACGGGAGCTATAGCGACAGGAGAATGTTTCTAATTTCTGTAGAACAGCTAAAGATGAACACTAACATATTTAGTGTCAAGCTTTATTTGGCCCTTGATTACGTCACTACGCGGTACTATGAAAAATAGAAGGCGACTATGAACGGATTTCAATATAGTATCGACTTTTTTTCTTCTATGAAAATTAACACACATAATTTTTAAGAAATACAGCGTTTTCATTGGATGACAAATAAAGCTGGACACTAAATAATTATTTTGTTTATATGAAGGGTAGATCGAGTCAAAGAGAAACATCGAGTGACGTTCTCAATAATTTTAGCCTTCCTAAAATTTGAAAATATTCAGTGTGTTACAAAAACAATAGATCTAAAATCTAGCATATTTTTCGCAGGAGAAAAATACCACGTATTGTATATTTTGTAGCTAAAAGAGTAAGATTTACAGAAGTCTTGAATAACGATAAATATGTAAGGAAACTATTTCTGAGAAATATAAAAAATGTTCAAAAGCATAAAATCAAAACGAATTTTATATGAAGTTAATGAAAGAAGTATTGTACTGTTGAAGATTCATATGTCATTTTAAGTGTGTTTAAAATTATTTTTAAATGTTAGAAATCTATCAAAAGTTTTATATTATTAATATATGAATTGAACGTGGAATTTGCAAAATCTGGGTTTACAAAAATTATTTTAAATGCCATCAAGACAAATTTATCTCAACGCTTAAAATTATCTGTTTGAGGTTACATATGCCTAACCGCCCTCTGTCAATGCCGCAACTGTAATCATCCATAAAAAGCGCGAGGCATTTTTGTTACGTCATATATTTCGTCAATTGTTGTTGACGTAATAAAGTTTTTTTTTCGTCAGGAATCCATGATAAGCATTGTGATGTAGACAACTAAAATTTATGGGCCGTTCTTGAATTATGGATTTGGAACATGCTGAATTATGATGTGTTTCATTTACATATTTCATTTGCTAACCCAGATAACTCCACAAATTGAAGAATGTTTTAATAATGAGACGGATTATCAGTTTAAAAAATCTGGATCATCAAAAGTGTAGGAGTCATGACTCATGTCATTAAGGATTTTTGAAGTCAAAAAGTGGGATCTACGGAACTGGATAGAAACTGGCAATGAAGGAATCTTCATATGCGAATTTGTCGTGACGTTTATAAAGTTCATCGGATTCTATTCAGCTTAAAAGTAAGTGCAATTTCTAGATCTAATCCATGTGACTCGGTGTTCTTGTTGCTAATTTTTCATTTTTTAAAGTTTTCCATCATGCATTGCAACTAAACCGTTACATCTTGTAGATCCAGCTTTGTAAAATAATCATGAAACGACCCCGAGAACCTCATGTATATATTAGAAACATGACACGTGCTTTCTCCCGTTCATCTTCAAATGAAGAGTACTTCGGCAATGGCTACGGAAAATAAACAACAGAGATTTTCCATAGAGAAATCAAAATTTGCTTTCACAAGAAAAGTAGACACTTTAGAGTAAAATCCTGAAAAATCTCGAGGGTGACTTTTTTTTAGTTTACAAAAATGTTTTACTTTTTATTCAACGTCGTTTTGTTAATTCATACCAGGCAAAAGTTCATTTCCATTTTTAATGGGACAGACTATAGTTTATATCAGGTTGGAGTCAGAACCTGGGACATACGATATCGTATATCCCAGTCAGAACTGAATCAATATTTCATTTTTATTTTCTTTATTTAATTATTCGGGTGTTTCAAATACATTTTAGATCTATTTGAAATACACTGATGGGGCTTTTTTTTTTTAAAAGATAGCTGTATAATATTTTTATCATTTCGTTATTACAAGCTACCGCTCAAGCCGGTGCTAGAGGGCGTGAGGTATCATTATTCCTCATGTACAGACTCAATCAAACCGAGTCTGCAATTCTCTTGTATTCTCTTTTGTTGTGATTAATGCTCAAGCCGGTGCTAGGGGGGTGAGGTATCATTATTCCTCATGTACAGACTCAATCAAACCGAGTCTGCAATTCTCTTGTATTCTCTTTTGTTGTGATTAATGCTCAAGCCGGTGCTAGGGGGGTGAGGTATCATTATTCCTCATGTACAGACTCAATCAAACCGAGTCTGCAATTCTCTTGTATTCTCTTTTGTTGTGATTAATGCTCAAGCCGGTGCTAGGGGGCGTGAGGTATCATTATTCCTCATGTACAGACTCAATCAAACCGAGTCTGCCATTCTCTTGTATTCTCTTTTGTTGTGATTAATGCTTCCGAAAGATCACTTTGTTCCCGGATTTTTATACTTTACAACAGCAGGTGGCAGCTGTAAAAGTTGCCCCGTACTTCACTTCAGTGTTGTTATATTGTTATGGTCCTTCGGGATAATTGATGGAAAGCACTATTAAGTGTTGAGAATTGAGTACCGCTCAAGCTGGTGCTAGGGGGCGTGAGGGATGTTACACGTATATAGTCATTATCCCTCATGTAATTCTCTTGTAATTTTGTTGTGATTAATGCTTCCGAGGGATCACTTTGTTCCCGGATTTTAAAATTTACCAATAGATAGAAGTACCATGTTGGGAATGAGGCTTTCGCACTGCTTGGAGTGAATAGGACATGTGTCATTGGTATAGAAGCGCCACATGTTAATATTTTTTCCAGTGTATGACACAGGGCCTTTCAAATCTATTTGAAATAGTGTTACCTGAATCATCAAGGGAGGTTATCCAGTCATCCCTTAGTAGAATTTATTATTAATATACTTCCATATAACTGAACGGTTTTGATTATTGATGTAATGTCGCATTCTTTGAAGCTTTTCAGGTCGGCAATGTCTGGCCTATTTTTGTATACATATGTCGAAATGTAGACCGTGCCTTGACTTGAACCTCTCTTTGTTTTTTTTTTTCAAGATATAAACTCCATGTCTTTTAGCGCACTACCACTTTCATTAATCTGCAAAGAAGAAGAAAAACTACTGCTAATTAATCTTCTTGATCCAATGAAGGATGTCGATATATCGTTGACAATTATGGCGCAAACAATCGTATGCCAATATTCTTTACTTATTTTACAAGAGGGTCGGAAGAGGACGTGTATGCATAATGAACATTAGAACAAAAGCTAAAAATAGTTTGAATGTCGATTGGCTCATTACCGAGTCGCCATGCGCCATTTTGAGGACCAACTACTAGTAATCTCATACCAGTAACAATCTCAAAAGAAACCAAATCAACGTGTCATTGCTTTTGATTGGTTGAGGTTTCATAATACTTTGCTTAGAAGTCCCGCCATATTTTTCATGAGATGTTCCATTAAATCTTTCGTTAGAGTTTCAAATTTACTTCCCTTTATCAGTTCGATTGTATTTTGCTTGAGAAGTATATTTATAATGAAACAGTTAAAACAAAATATAATTAAACACACCAAGCAAAGTAAAATGAAACCACTGCTCGCAATCCAGTCAGTTCATATTTTGAAAATGCACGCTAAAAATGATGAATGATTTTATCAAGCTTGAAAGTTGGACAAGTCAATTCAAGAAATGGACTACGGACATTTTAAGTGTTTATGTACAGATAATAAGTAAAACACGCACTTTGTATCTTAACAGTTATCTATAAATTATTGCATATATAAGATACGCTTTGTTCCTCTCTAACCCCCGTAATCCTCTGATTAAACTTTAAAACGCAGCCTTTACAAATATTTTCAAAGTTTAAATGTAAATTTAAACATACATATTATCAAGTTAAAAGAGTGTAAAGAGTGTTAAGTAGTCGAGGATTAATGTCCCGTTTTTGGTAATAACTATGTAAGTATATACATAGATATATCTAACGAAATATCTTCTTCTTTCTCACAGTATCTAATAATTGTAACTACTACTTCAATGATTTTTATCGATACATTTGCCTGTCTTTAGCTATTACAGTTTAGATAGAAATCGAAATAATTAGGTAAGAGCGATTCCTGTTATTTAACAAGTCACGTGGCACATGGGTTATGAAAGCTTTTTAGATTATATAATACAAATCAATGAGATATGATTTATATCAATCACTTTGATCACTTACTAAGACATTTTATGTTTTTCTCATCATCACTTTTATATTTTGCGTCATTATTACTTTCGCTATTGTGTGTGATGTTCTTGAACTTTTAATTCAGCCTTGACTTGTATCATTTCCCAGCCTTAACGTGCATCATTTCCCCGCCATAACCTGTATCATTTCCCAGCCATAACTTGTATCATTTTTATCATTTCCCAGCCTTAACTTGTATCATTTCCCAGTCTTAACTTTTATCGTGTCCCTGCAATAACTTTTATCATTTCCCAGCCTTAACTTGTATCATTTCCCAGTCTAAACTTGTATCATTTCCCAGCAATAACTTTTATAATTTCCCAGTCTTAACTTGTATCATTTCCCAGTCTAAACTTGTATCATTTCCCAGCAATAACTTTTATAATTTCCCAGCCTTAACGTGAATCATTTCCCAGCCATAACTTGCATCATTTCCCAGTCTTAACCTGTATCATTTACCAGCTTTAACTTGTATCATTCCCTAGCCATAACTTGTATCATTTCCCAGTCTAAACTTGTATCATTTCCCAGCAATAACTTTTATCATTTCCCAGCCTTAACTTGTATCATTTTCAAGTCTAAACTTGTATCATTTCCCAGCAATAACTTTTGTCATTTCCCAGCCTTAACGTGCATAATTCCCCAGCCATAACTTGTATCATTTCCCAGCATTAACTTTTATCATTTCCCAGCCTTAATGTGCATCATTTACCAGCCATAACTTGCATCATTTCCCAGTCTTAATTTGTATCATTTACCAGCCTTAACTTGTATCATTTCCCTAAACTTGTACCATTTCCCAATCTTACCTGGTATCATTCCCAGCAATAACTTGTATCATTTCCTAGCCTTAACTTGTATCATTTCCCAGCCTTAACTTGTATCATTTCCCAGCAATAACTTTTATCATTTCCCAATCTTTACTTTTATCATTTCTCAGCCTTAACGTGCATCATTTCCCAGCCATAACTTGTATCATTTCCCAGCCTAAACTTGTGTTATTTCCCAGTCTTAACTTGTTTCATTTCCCAGCAACAGCTTATATCATTTTCCAGCCTTAACTTGTATCATTTACAAGCCTTAACTTGTATCATTTCCCAGCCTAAACTTGTACCATTTCCCAGTTTTAACTTGTATCATTTCCCAGCCCAAACTTGTACCATTTCCCAGTTTTAACTTGTATCATTTCCCAGCAATAACTTGTATCATTTCCCACCCATAACGTGTAGCAATTACCGCCAACTTGTATCATTTCCCAGCCACAACTTAATCATTTCCGAGCCATAACTTGTATCATTTCCCAGCCACAACTTAATCATTTCCGAGCCATAACTTGTATCATTTCCCAGCCATAACTTGTATCATTTCCCAGACTGGTCTAAGCTTTATTCAATCAGAAAGCCCAGTTTTTATTACCTTTTAATCAAACATTTTGCAAGTACCCCGCCTTTCACTTTTATTTTGTTTAAATCGGGCATCAATTATAGAACCTCGTTTGGGTCTTTTGAAAATCTGGCACAACTAATAGTAATAACTAATAATTTCAAATGTTTTGTATGTATGCTCTTTCATTTTAAACCGTACAACGGAATATTTTCGCTACTACTATCCATCGAAACAAAAAAAAACAGAAAGATCAACGAATGTTTCTTTTTTTAGTAAATTCTTACTTTAGTACGTACATTTTACTCGCACATTATCGAATTATTACTGAAATGTCCAAAAAATTTATATTTTTATATAGGTTCATCAGCGTTTAAGTCAAGATTTTATATTTATTTAGGTGGAACATAAAATCTTTTGATGCCAGAATCATTAAAGGAATGTCAATATCAATATTTCAAAAATTCACCCAGGGATTCGAGCAAATAGCTATTTGAGCAAATAGCTATTTGGACGGCCCTACATGTAGGTCACCCTAAAATAAAAACGCAAGGTTAATTCTTTGACTTTTCAAAGTTTACGAGGGTATGCGAATGACACATTGAATGTGTTACATAAAATGAAAATGCTTTGTCTACCTTTCAACATAAAATACTTATGTGGTATAAAATTTAAATCGTTAAAATTAGTTACAGCTTATAATTACCTTTATCCTAGTGTTATTTTGCCAAATCGGTGCTAAATAAGTTTAAAATCCACTGACAGTTTAATATATATGCTAATATTAAATGTAAAAAAAATCTTAGTAATTGCATGCATATTATCAGTAAGGTATTTAATTTGCTAATCTATTTTGATTAAGATAATACGGCAACCAGACTTGTTTTAATTCTCTTCTGATTTTAAAGCGACTTGTACACACTTCTGCGAAGGTATTTCTGTCTCTAAAAATACGCGGTTTTATGAAAATACTAATCGGTCCAAACATGCTGGTGCAAAAGACAAATCTTCGTACCCAGCAGTTTATTTGATTAAAATATATGTTTTTTTCATGATTCTGGACACAGGCCTACTTTAATTTATTCTTGCCTAAAATAGCATTGACTTTCACCACTGCTACAGTTGTGTTAATAGAATCACCGTGACCGAATGTTACTATATTGCATACAGCCAAATTTGCATTTCATAGGAGTTTGCAGGAAAAAAGAAAATTAACAAATGAAATAAATAAATAAATAAATTAGTTTTTATTTATTTATTTTTTTATTTATTGATTAATTAATTAATTAATAAAAAATAAATAAATAAAAACGCCAGACTTCGGATTATTTTATTGCGAACAAATACAATAGTAAGAAAAAACAAATTAAGACCAATTATTCAAAAATAACGATGAACGTAATTCATGATACGGATTTTGGTCTAATTAACTTACGCAGTTAAGGGATTTCTTTATTTAGTTTCATCAATTTTGTCATCTTTCTTTATTTAGTTTCATCAATTTTGTAATCTAGAATCAGTCATAACATACAAAAAAAGCCTACGGATGGCGTATATAGCAGAACTACTTTCGATCCGTATTGTTTCCGAGATGATTTACGTTTATAAGCGAATGGTTCCGAATGCGACGCCATTCCACCGATTTATATGCGGAGAAGTTGATAGGTACTTGTATCCTCTTTTTTAAAAATAAATTGACTCAGTATTCGTTCGATTTTAATAAAAATAAAATAACAATAATAAACCGTTGCAAAAATTTAGATACCATACATTTTAAATTATTTTTATTTTCGTGTGACAAACACAAAGAGAGGTTAATCTATTAAGGCCGATATTCGTTGTTTAAAATTAACCGGTACTTTGTTACATGTGAACAATATTGCGAACAATTTGATTCAAATTTGATACAATTCATAACATTATAATAACCCCTTACATAACCATATACATTTAATGTTAAAAACATTGCATGATATAGTACCATAGGTTTATTTGTTAGTTTTAAAGTTGAACCGATACACTGTTAAAATCTTTAACGACTATCTTAAAACTGTACCCTTTTGTCCGAATGGCACTCTATTGACGAATACTGTGACCTATTGCTGTTTGAATTGTGTATAATTTATCAACGCAAATCTTTGATCTTTTAAATGTTTCAGTGCTATGTGAAATAGTAAATATTTAAGCTAGTTTACCCTGGAAGAAAATTATTTGGCAAACGTTACATTTTATCAGCTTTTTGGCGTATAACGAAATAGTCACGTATTTTCGCGAAAGGGTTATGATAAGCACGGCTCAAGAATTAAAGGTTTAATCCGCGAAATGCTAATGTGTAAGACGTCAGTCAATATTTAAAAGCCTCCCATGTCAAATTAAAATTTAAGAAGAAAAAAAAAGAAAGTTTATAGATATTTGACATATATATAGATGACATATTTGGATTTACTGCATGAAGATTAGGAATTTATAAAATACTGTTTCACCCATAGGTGAGTTACACGTGCTTTATATATAACCGTTCAAGTTTTAAAAAAATATGTATTTAATAATATCATGGAATATTTCATTTTTTTATATAAAAATATTTTCAATCAAATTAAGCTTATATGATGATATCATGCAAAATTATTTATAAATCGATTCAAACGCTAATTTCTTTCCCCGTGCTTTATTGTACATAATATTTATATCGTTTACGTTCATCGTTATTTTTGAATAATTGGTCTTAAATAAACATTTTACTATATTGTATTACACTCAAATGTATCATCAAATAACGGAAATTCAGCACTGAATACAGAATCTATTCTAATAATTGTGCTACATATTAAGTTTTTTGATCGGCTTTTTAAAATGTTTTTCTATTGCCACAATCGACATTTTCGGAAACTAAATTAGTTTTATATTGATACATTTGTAAACATGAAATATTGTATAGAATATAAACTGTAATCTATATCTTCTCCAGATATATTCTTAATTCCATATCGAACAGGAATAAGCCGCTGCAAAACCCTTAAATACATGTTTATAGAAAATAGATAGTCTCTAATCCATATTCGTACATGTACAAATATTTTACATATATTTGACATATAATCTAGCTGTTTTTAATATCAAATTTCTATTCAGTAAATTATCAAAACTTGTTTTAATTCGAAGTATTAAAAACTAATTTCTCAAAAGTCACTGTAATTTTACAAGTGTTTGTCCTTATTGAAAACATATTTGAGCCGCGTCACGACAAAACCAACATAATAGGTTTGCGACCAGCATGGATCCAGACCAGCCTGCGCATCCGCAAAATCTGATCAGGGTCCATGCTGTACGCTTAGAGACCCTATAACAAGTAGAGAAACTGATAGCGAACAGCAGGCTGGTCTGGATCCATGCTGGTCGCAAACCCATTATGTTGGTTATGTCGTGACGCGGCTTATATTATTTTTTTTAACCTAATCATCTAAAACTTGATATTATGCGTATGCAATAATTTTTTTAGATAATTACACCCTTACCCTTTTCTGCATACTTGAAAAATACACCGTGACGATAAAATATAAGTAATTGTAACGGTAATGTTTATAATTGTCTGAAATTGCAAGTGTTGTATATAAGAGGCTATTTTTGCCTTGTTATATTGTTAAACCGGTAGTAATATTAATACAATTTCTTTAAATTATTGTAACTTTAATTGAGAGAAAAAAATACCTCATACCAAAATATTGTACTGTATTCATTAAAGGCACATCGCGACAGGTTTGTGCTCATTGCTTACAACTGGTTCCTATGTATTACGTTTAAAGTTCCTCGCATTCTAATGCTGTGAGAAATTTAAAAATTTTACATTTTTTGGTTGTCAGATTTCTGATATATCTTTAGAGAAATGATTTTCAACTTCATTACTTCCCAAACCTCCATTTCAATGTCAAATTTCTATTTCGATGTCAGATTTCTGTAAATATGTCACACTCGTTAAAATGCCATATTTCTGTTTAAATGTTTTACTTCTGTTCAAACATAAGACGACTTCTATTCGTACTTCTGGTAAAATGTCTTACATCATTATAAATGTCACACTTATGCAAAAATGACATATTTCTGCTTGAATGTCATACTTCTGCCAAAGTTTCTCTTTAAATGTCATACTTCTGTTTAAATGTCACACTTTTGTTAAAATGTCATATATCTGTTTAAACCTCTTATTTCTATTTAAACCTCATACGTCTGTTTAAATGTAATATTTCTGTAAAAATCTCTTACTTCTGCTTGAATGTCGAACTATTGTTTGGTGGTCACACGTCTGTTTAAATGCCACAATCTTGTTTAAATGTCACATTTCAGTTAATTTAAAAATGTTCCATTTCTGTCCAAATGTCACACTTTGTTTAAAAGTCATACTTCTGTTCAAATGTCAAACCTTTGTTTAAAAGTCATACTTCGGTTCAAATGTCAAACCTTTGTTTAAAAGTCATACTTCTGTTCAAATGTCAAACCTTTGTTTAAAAGTCATACTTCTGTTCAAATGTCAAACCTTTTTTTAAAAGTCATACTTCGGTTCAAATGTCAAACCTTTGTTTAAAAGTCATACTTCGGTTCAAATGTCAAACCTTTGTTAAAAGTCATACTTCTGTTTAAATGTCAAATCATTATTTAAAAGTCATATTTCTGTTCAAATGTCAAACCTTTGTTTAAAAGTCATACTTCTGTTCAAATGTCAAACCTTTGTTTAAAAGTCATACTTCGGTTCAAATGTCTAACCTTTGTTTAAAAGTCATACTTCGGTTCAAGTGTCAAACCTTTGTTTAAAAGTCATACTTCGGTTCAAATGTCAAACCTTTGTTTAAAAGTCATACTTCGGTTCAAATGTAAAACCTTTGTTTTAAAATCATACTTCTGTTTAAATGTCAAACCTTTGTTTAAAAGTCATACTTCTGTTTAAATGTCAAATCATTGTTTAAAAGTCATACTTCTGTTCAAATGTCAAACCTTTGTTTAAATGTTATACTTCTGTTCAAATGCCTAACATTTGTTTAAAATTCATACTTCTGTTTAAATGTCTAACCTTTGTTTAAAAGTCATACTAAATGTCTTACCTTTGTTTGAAAGTCATACTTCTGTTTAAATGTCTAACCTTTGTTTAAAAGTCATACTTCTGTTCAAATGTCAAACCTTTGTTTAAAAGTCATACTTCTGTTTAAATGTCTAACCTTTGTTAAAATATCATAAATCTGTTTATCCTGTTCAACATCTATTAAAATGTTATACTTCAGCTTGAATGTCAAACTTCTGGTAAAATGTTATACTTAAGCTCAAATGTCAAACTTCTGTTATTATACAAAAAATCTGTTTTTTGAAAAAACAAAAGTAGTCAGATGTCTGTTCAGTTGTTCATACTTCTGATTTGAAGTTGCTTATATCAAATGTCACACATCTGTTCAAATGCCAGTCTTCCGCTGAACGCCGAATTTCACTTACAAAACAAGATTGGTAAAGTTGTCAAACCTATTTAAAGTGGTAAGAAATAAAATGAATTACATGTATTTGTCTAGTTTCTGGTATAACCGTTGCTATTATGCTATTGGAATAATAGCATTAATATGAATTAAGAACAATTTATTTAGAGTAAAACAAAGTTACTTCAAATTATACATGTATAAAATAGGCAATGTGTGTAAAATTTATACTTCAAGACAGCTCAAGATTCTCTTAAGCTAAATCAAGATGGTAAATTCTGCGTATAAATATCGCTTATACCCGACGAATACTCCAAATTGGGCTTTATTACTTCAAAATCAATCAATGTCAAAGTTATAGACCGAACACAAAATTAGTCCATTTTTTGACCTTTGACCTTTATGTAACATTGACCTTTGTGCTACAGATCTGGATCTTGTGCCCAACAAACTGTCTCATGTTAAAATTATGCTGTTGACATTAATGAGCCGCGTCACGACAAAACCAACATAATGGGTTTGCGACCAGCATGGATCCAGACTGGGCTACACACCTGTATCTTTCGCGTTCCACACTGTCTCACGGGATGAGCATTTGTGTTTAAAGAAAATTCATAACATAATAACAAAGTTATTATCCGAAAACGATTTCGGACGGATTTACTGACAGACGGACACACAAGGCGGTTAACCTTCGGCGGCATGAAAATTATCTACCTGTTCTTCATTAACAATTTGATAAGTGCTCAATTATCATATACCGTTATGTTAAAGACAAGTGAGAATACGGGATATATTTAATAGAATGCGTTATGTCTCACGTAAAGCTAAGAAATGAACTGATTTTATTTGCTCACAACAACATAATAAAAATAGTTTTTATGTAAGATTTATTCCATACCCATAAAATAGCCAAAATTATCACCCACTTATTTCATATGACGAAGCAAAACAATACCAAATACTGAAGTGAATGATATGCAATATATCTCATTGATGTAAAATACAGTATTCCGTTTATATTAGTAAAAAGTACTTTTATATATAATCAGTGTGCGTCTAATGTTTAGAAAACTGATTTTTTTGATATACTAATCTAAATCCGTTCTCAATAAAATAGATACTTGATATTGACACAATCTTCGATTATTAATAAAACGATTTTCAAATGATTATTGCAACGACATGCTTTGTTTGATTAATAAAATCGAAGAAGCTTATGATAGTGTGTATATTTGAGGATTAATTTATTATATGTGATAAAAATACATTACGAATCATACAACTGCAAATCATATTTTAGCAAAAACGAACCATATGATGTCGTATCGTTTTCCAAATTCGTTGAATTTTTAAATTGCAGTGATGTCACTCAGAAGTATTAAGCAATAGAAAGAACACCGAAACACGATGCTATCTTATTTGTACGAATAAATCAGATTGCCGAGTGTTTTGATGTTCTTTCTCTTTTCTATTATAGTCATCCCTGTCATCACAATCAGAAAAAAGTAACCAATGAATATGACTTTTCCACTGTTATCACTTTCCCTGTCGTCACAATATAAAGTAACTTCCAGAAAAAAATGAACTAATCAACTAGCATGCCCTGGAGTGCGAGTAACTAACACCTGCACTCCAGTTAACGCACTGTGTATGTATGGATATACTATTTAACTCTAAAAGGTCTCCAAACCATAGTACATTTGCTATTATATTTCAGGATCCCGAAGGTCTATCAAATACCAACTTGAGACGTTACAGAAAACGAATACAGAGGTGTAACAAGTCAATGTTTGTACGAATACAGCGTTATTCGTATGTTTCAAAATAGCAAGAACATTTTAGAAGAATTCCTATATGAACTTTCATTCCTATGTTCAGAAATGAATGTATGAACTGGGAATATATAATGGATGAAATCTATATAGGGTAGATTATTGGTTCCCGACAGACAAATAAAATGCAATTCTACGTATTGCCGATATGAATGACTTTAAAATGAAAATTTGATTTGTAAGTAGATCTAACGGTTAAAAGTCACAAGAATGGAATTCAACGTCAAGTATGAGGTGGGAATACACAAGATGCAAAAAGTCACTTTCCCGCCACTTCGATCAGGAATTCACGTGAGTCTAGCCGCAAAAGAACCACCGGAAAGAAGTTGGTCGAGATATAAAAAAGTTCTTATAGATAACCCTAAGGACTCGAATCTGCTGCAAAGACAGAAACTATGGAATTTTCAAAAACTAAATCGAGGAGCGTTTCGGTCGCAGCTGACGTCACTTCCGGATATTCCGTACCGTGTACAGCCGAATCCGGTCGAAAAGGTGAGCGTTGCTGTGCAAGCGGATTTGTCGACGAGATTTAGCCAAAATCTTAAAGTTATATTTCCTAATTTAGTGGATAAAAGACGGCGTGCTTCTTTAAATAAAATTGAAAAAATCGAAAGTGATGTGTACGAGGTTATTGACAAACCAACAGAGGAAAACAGGAATACGCATGCGTCAAAAGAGTTTGGTGATTATTCGGATGATTTTGACGAGGACAGTTCAACTGATGATCCGGGGTTTGAATTCGATTCTGTTATTAGGAAGAAGAATGCAGGTACAATGACAGAAGATATAGGAAATGTCAAACCATCAATGAAGCGAGAAAAGAAATTAAAAACATTTCGAGAAAGAAATATGTATACATATAAACTTCCAATTCTGAAGCAACCTGAAAGAAAAATATCTCGTTTACAAAATGAACCAAAAAACGTGAAATTTGAATCTGAAATAGTTTCACAGGACACAGATGAAGAAAATGAAAACGTAGAGCCCGAGGAGCTACCAATACCTTCACCTGACGAACCAGAAGAAATACTATCAGCAGTAAGCAAGGTTGAAATAACAGAAATACCCGAACGCGTGCCGTCTGCTGCATCATCAATAGACAGTAGGGTTCCGAGAATTCCGCTTGAAAACATTGGTCCTTCTAGTAATTCGGCACTAGATCCCGTCTCTATTCTTGACTACATAAGCGGCGGATTTTCAAACCGTTCTAGGAACAGTGATAATGGCGGTAAAAAATCTAAAAAGTTCGTTTCCGATCCGGAAGCAGATCGAATGTGGTTTGAAAAAATTGTTGGCGATAAAGAGATTATTGACTCTGGAACATACGAGAATTTCGCTCGTTCCCGCCCAAGCGCCGAAGAGCAGACCGACTCAAATACCGATAAATACAATGACTTAGGAAAATCTAGTCCAAGGAAAAACTTTACACCAAGAATTAATGACGAATTTGCAGTGTACCATTCTGTTGTTGCAAAATCGTCCAAACGACAAGCAAATATTGTTAACACGACCGTTGCAAAACCTAAAAATCCCAAACGAGTAATTAGTATAGGAAAGTCTTATTAGTGCAATCATATAACATTTATAACAAATATACGAACAACGGTTTCATTGGACTGATGGTACATGTAACAATGAACAGAAATTTAAACAAGTTTAGTTTTGGACTTCTTAAGTCACATCGAACGATTTACTTCGAGTACCGTAAGGTCAACAATGGTTTCTATGAAACTGTCCAGCGAACGAAGATTGTGTTTAAAAAAACAAAAAAAAAAAACAAAAAAAAACAATAAAAACATTGCAACATATTTAGTTCTATCGACACAAGCTTGTAAAAAATGGTGCCTAAAGCATTTCAACTTATTATATAGTCAGATTTTTAACTTCTGGGAAAATATAGATATGTACTTTTCCTCCAAATGTGAGTGTAGGTCTTTAAAGCTGTATGCGTCCAGATGAGCCAGATATTTCAAGAAAATAAATTTGAGAAAAATGTACTAGTAGATCTACTAAGATTTAAGAACAGTTAAAAGATTTAAGTTTCAAGTTAAAATTAACATGACTGACTTTGCAGTATTTATCACTATATTTCTACTGCGTGACTATCGTAGTAGATACCTCTTTTGCTGATTTTGACATTGTTTTGGTAATTCATTTGAAATGCATGTGTAAATTATTTTCTTTGTTGTCATCACAACCTTTTACTCTAAATTACATTTTTAAAATTTTCATGAAAATAGCATTAATCTGAAGGCATGCTTCTTTAAAAATAAATTAAAACTTAAAATTGCCGTTTAATTACAGTGATATACATGTATTTATATTTTCGTTATTTGTTGAATATCTATTCATTTATTGACAAAAGCATATTAAAATATTTTGTTTAAATAAAGTTTATCTTATTGATACATTTTTTACATAAGAAAAAAGGACCTCTTTTCGCAAATCTTCTTTTATGTTGTCGCAAATGTCATTTATTCCCCTATATCAATGTACAATATCGATCCGGGAACCATCTTAACAATCCGAAACGATCAAATATTGCTATTCACTAAATCTTTGGTAAGAGCTAGTTTTATTATAAATCATAACAAGATCATGAGCCCTGTCCGAGGACAGCGTGCCACACTTTTCTTGGTGCTTCATTGTTGAAGAAAGTAACATAGAAAAGGGTGGCATAAACTTGTGCTTGTGCTGAGCAGTCTTACATGACCCTGTTAGTCAACAAATATTTCAATATCCGAAGAGAATACCTTTAACAGTTTTTTACCAGAAGTTAATGTTTGATATTAAACAGGGAAATAAATAATGAAGCAACAATGGATTTTATGATTATCTACCTCTTAGAAATGCATTTTAAATTTGAAAGTGAACAAGTCTCAATGTTTAAAGTTAATGCCCTTCCTTGATACCTTTTGAGAAATGTTTATTAACAAATAGGTTAACCAAGATAGTCAAAGTAAAATAGGGCAATGCTGAGCTTAAATAAATTGTAAGGTTACCTACCCTTTTGAAATGAATTCCATTTTTTAAAAATTGAACAAGTATTCCAAGTTTGAAGCAATTAAATGACTTTTGCAGAAAAGCAATTATATAATCAGTTATATCATAACTAAGGTTTTGTCCACAAATGTGTTCTACATGTAGTATCAAATGCACTTTTTAAACCTATAAATGCACAAAAACAAGACAATTTCCTTTTAGATTTTTTTATTGTCTGATTTCACATACATGTACAAGCATTATAGTAATCTTAAAATTCACAAAGACATACAATATAGCATTCTATAAATTCGTGTAAGTCCTAAAGACAAACAATATATATAATATTCAAAAAATTCATATAAACAAGCTATTTGACATTTTTAGAAATTCATAGAGCTTTTTTCTGTTTTTACATCTTTATTAACAATTTTACAAATATAAATATAATAATGGATTTTTAGTTCATAAAAATCAAATAACATAAATTTTCATGTAAACAAACCTGTTGTTTTTCTAGAATTTGTAATATATCAATTAACATTTATATTGTCAACAGTTGAGTATCCCTTTCTTACACCACATTCATACTGACTGATCAACTGTTTTTTTCCAGAAAATTTCTGCAGACATGTATTTATGACATGTATAATGACGTATTATAAATAATTTTCCAAAACTCATCAAAATAGTTATTGGTCAATAATTGCTTGGCTTGGTAGCATCGCCCTTGATTTTGAATACTGGATTGATAACACCAATTTTCCAACATTCAGGGATAATACCATAATTTTGTAAAAATTATATTGAATTGCTTATGATATACATATTTCATAATGGGCAAAGAGTACTTTAAATAGTCTTTTAAAATGTCATCGTTACCACTAGCTTACTGTTTTTGAGCGCCTTTACAGCATTTTTGATTTCTTGCACAGAGATGTATTTATTTAGAGTTTCGTTATTGACATTGTGTTCAAATTGCAAATCGTTACTACATTGTAGAAGAATAGTGTCATCAATGCTGCTTCAATTTTTGAAAAATTCATACGTATCTTTTAATTGTGTCGTTACACCATTTTTTACTACCGTTCAGAATTTTCCAGTACTCTCTAGGACTAGCCTTTTTGAGCTTCTTAATCTTTTCTACATTTGACCTTATGAATTTAATGTAATTCCTACTCAAACACATTTTATACAATTTACTGCAATATTTTAAATTTTCCTTATTCATATCAGTTTTAAGAAATTTATACAAGTACTTTGCTCGATAAAAAGAATGCCTTGTTGTTAACATTCACCGTTGAACCATTTTGGCCTAAAATTACATTCATTTTAGAGTTATTACATATGTCACAGGAACTACATCTGAATCCCAGAGACACTGGCCAGAAACCCTTGTCTATCCCGAACGTTATCTATGCCTCGGATAATAGTAATAATTCAGGGCATCAGGCGGCATATACAGCTCCACACATGGACACAGCAAGACTCTCCAAAAGATTTTTCCAACGAAATATCTTTTAACCAGAAACGACACGTGACTCATAACAGCGAACCTCTTATTCAACCTACAGTTGTGTGTCGTCACATAGCAGTTGTACTGAAAATTCTCAATCGTTATTTAAATCGCAGTCTCAAACATTTGTTAAGCCCATCACACCAGTTTAAACATTAACAATACTACTCCACGTTGTAAGCTTAGGTCACGTGCAAGTTCGCTGTCAACAAAAAGTCAACTAGTTAGCATGCGCAGAACGAATCGTCAACAACTACAAAAGCGCCAGCAAATCACCAGACCGCATATGTTTTCACTTCTCCTCGAAGCGTACACGTCGCTGAGAAGGCACAGGACATCGTCAGCAAATTTGAAGACTTGGGATTGTGATAATAATAAAGACTAGAATTTGAACTGCGGACCAGCTTTATTACACATTATTGTTTCAGGTTACTGTACATTTGGGTTCTCATTGGCCGCAGTATAGTGAACTACTTTCGGCTGAATATTCATAAGGACATGACTGGTGACATGTCCGGGTCCGTTCTCGATAGCGAAAGCTGCATTTTATGCCCTTATTGGCGGATGGACCCAAATTAAACATAAACTACATACATGTAGACAGACCGACCGCATATCTTCTCCAAATATCTCAGGAGGCGTGCACGTCGCGGAGAGGCACACGCCAGGTCAATGTCAAAATCGTCTCAAGTACAAGAGATAATTGGTTGACCTGTCGTGACTTACTCAGAAAGCTGGTCGTAACAAGAGGCGTTTTTGTTTGATGATGCCGTTTGGAAAGTATTGTCGTCTCCTTCAACCACCAACGAACAGGTTTCAGGGAGATTCTGCGTGAAACGTCGCCGCTGATGTGAACACTACGATCGAACCAGCAAGTGCGCTGATAATCTCGCCCAAATGGTAAAATTCCGGCGGCCAGTATAAATGAACTATTCTACTACAACACATATACCGCAAAGCTTAATCGGTAAGAGTACGAGACTTGTAATCTCGTCATTGTTGGTTTGATTCACGGGCTGGACAACTACAATTACTAATCAGTCTTTCGGAAGAGACTTTAAATCGAGGTCCGTGTATGAGTGCTTTAACACTTGGCACGCTTAAGAACCAGGAGAAGCTTCTGGAATTAAAGCATCTTTCTGCACATGTATCTTTCATTATCCTTCAAAATGTCAAATTGTGTGTGTAATTGACTTTATTTATACTCGCCACCGATTGCACATATGGGCGAGTCCTCCAGAAGAGTATTAGTCATTTTATATTTTTGGAGGATAGCGCAAGATACGATACAGAAAGATGCTCCAATTCCAGAAGCTTCCCCTAAAGCCCGGGAATCGAACCCACGATGTCGATTTTACAAGTCTCGCGCTCTAACCGATTGAGCTATGCGGGGTGACATAAAAAATGTGAAATGACTAAATTTGATGTTTTTATATAAATACCGTCATAATCGATCAGCCTGATAAAAATGATTAAATTATCATCTATTATCGTATATTACTATTTTACTTGACTGAAAACAAGAAAACAATTACTATGACGAATCAGAAATGGAGAAAACTTTTTTTTCAGACTCAGATTGCTATGAAATAAAAAGAGAACACAGGCTTTCGTAAATACAGAGTATTTAAATTGCCCAGTTATGTTCCTGCCAAATATGAAAGTAATCTGTCAATAAATAAAGGCTGTATGAGCAAAGGAGTAAAAATCTATTTTAAGCTTTGGTGATCTTGACCCAGATGATCCCTTACCCCATCCAAAGGTAGAAGGTGCTTCAACATTTTTTTGCCAAATATAAAAAAAACACCAGTCAAAAGAATAAGGTTACACCTGTAAAAGTCTAAAAAGGGTGACCTTGACTTTGACCCGAATGATTCCTCACTGAACCCGTAAGAAGAGGACCTCCATAGGCATGTCCTTTTCGACACGAAAGACATCAATTTAAAAGTAAAGGCTGTATAAGCAAAATGTTTTAATTCATTTTTTACTCCAATGACCTTTACCCTATTTCTTCCTTAAAATGTAGAGGACAACTGAATGTATCCGCCATACCAAATATAGAAGAAATCATTAAATAAATGAAATAACTAGGAGAAATTTAAGATAAATCCAAAAACGTTGTTAATATGTCATTAAATTATTGAACCAATAGTTGTCGACTGCATTGATAACAGGCGTTTGTTTGCCCAATAATAAATATTATTTACAATGTACCAGTTGCTGCCTTTTGACAACGTTTATTCTGTCTATACAGATTATCAATACATTATAGTGTCGTTGATATTTTGAAATCTTGGGAATTTCAATCGGGGTTTCCTTTAAAGGTCTGGTTGATTTAAAAAGCAGTTACTGGCAGTGCACTAACTAAAATTGCAAATTAAAACATACTAAGTTGCTAACTGCAGAATATCGTTTATTTTAAATGAATATTCTGATGTGTGTATGAATCAGTATTAAAACTATCAAAGTGAAAAAATAAGACATACTAGTAGCTAATACTCGAAAAGGAATCAAATTATTATAATCATGTTTTGATTTCACTTTCTTAATCTTTTTCATGTTTCTTTATATATTAGCATGGAAGGGACACAAGGACACAAGTTGACAAAAATGGATTTACTGTAAAAAACATTAACAACATTTAATTTTAAGACTTTAAAACGATTATATTTTCTCTATATTTGATATATCTAATATTTTCTGCACTTATACTTATAGCAGTGGGTTTTTCATTAAATATATTATGTATCAAATTTTGTCATAACGATGTCAATTCTAATAAGTATTCACAGTATGATATGTTATTCGTACTTTAATTTACAACAGATGGCCTCCTTTGACTGAAATAGTGTACGAAGGGGCACCTGAGGTCATCTATCACTAGTAAAGCTAAAAGTTATGTGACATCATAACTAATAAAAACGACCAAACATATTTAACTTATATTTTGCAAGCTTTACCTCATATGCAATTTGAAGCTTATTCAATGACTCTTTCATAATAATGTAATACCAGCACGGACTAGTTTATGTTCCTTAAGGTATACTTAAACAACATGTTAAGGAAAAAGCACAATTGATTACAATATGTGCTCAATAGGATTGTTTAAAATCATTAAACATTTTTTCATTGAAATTTTTTCACTATTGAATTTCGATCAAAATTAATATACAAACAAGAAGAAAAAATACGGATGAAAGAAATACAAACACCAATAGAACTTTATACGGCTATGGGACAATGAACATAATAGTGATGAATATGCAACAAATATTGATAAAGATATAAGGTAAAATGTGAAATGAATAAGTCTTAAGAACAAAAATTAATTTTCAAGAACAAACTGATCATTTTGTTTATGATATTTGAAAAAAATTTCATGAAGCATAATTAATAAGTAATTAGACCGAATAAAAGTGAATCAAAAATAAAACATAAAAAATGTAAAACATACAATCGGGTCTAATGATTTTGCACATAAACAAGAGAAAGAAAACGTTTTACAAAGTCTAGTGCATTTACACACTTACAAAAGAAAATGAAAGAATACGTTTACGAAATTTAATAATTTTGAACATTTCTTAAAGGAAATAAAAGAAAACACTTTGCCAAGTCTAACAGTTTTGTTTGTAGATATGTATATATAAAACAACAACCCCCAACGACAACAATAACAACAACAACAACAAAAACAACAACAAAAACATGCTTGACCAAGTCTTATAACTTAGCGCTGGTTAACAGAAAACACTTTGCCAAGTATCAATATGTATCCACGTTGAAAACAGATAATGCAAATACACGCTTTGCAAAGTCAAATAATTCTAAAGGTTTATAACATTTTTCTGGTTAAGCTATTAAGTTTCAACCAACTGTATTGGTATTTAGTTATGAACATACAGATACTTAAACACAATTCAATCAGACCGCTGCTTTAATTCGTTGCTGTATTCAGTTTTTCGAAATATATTTGCAACTCAAAAGAGTTTATGTTTGCTGAAAGTTTTAATTCTTATTTTTAACTTTATTTCTGATTTCGTTTTTTTATTGTGAGTTTTCAGTGAGAACATAGAAAGTATAACCAATATAACCATGACTTTTTATGTACTTAGTAACATGTATGTTTGCATTGTCAACCATTTTACACCGATTTACAGGTCATCATTACTGTAGAACCCCTAACGTCATACGAATACACAACATGATGTTTTATTGTCTAAACACGCCGAAACATCATTTTAGATGATCTTAGCGATTCTGTTTTTTTAAAAGGGTAATATATCATGCCACCAAAGGCTCTGCCAGGTCGTTGGGTGCCAGGAGTAACGTATTCTCCGTTTAAATTGGCATCAGTACATTTGTTATACCACCAACCACCTCGATCCAGGACTGCGCAATTACCTCCATATGTATCCCGGTCATTATCGAAAGCTGTGAAGTGCATACCATTATGGTAAGACAAACCATCACCTGTATAAAATACAGAAATAAGCATTTTCTTTTTACTGATGTGAAATTCATGAAATTATGTTAGTGTTTTTATCAAAATAATACTAAATTTCTTTATTTTATGTCCTCATAAATGGTACAATCTGCATTTAGTGTTTGAAATTATTTTGGTCCAATTGCAGTCGTAATATATTTTCTTTGGTAAATCGGCAATATGTGAATCAGTCTAGTAAATCAACTGTTTATAAAAATAATTTATAATACTAAGCTGGCTGAAATTTATTAGTACTTATTTCAAAAGTTAAATTTGTCGCACGGCCGCGCTAGCTGCACCTGACCAATTTAATTTTGTTAATTAGTACTTATAAACTTTACATAAAACAAACTACTCATCAGTTATTAATATATCGTTAAACTGTCTCCTTCCGCAAGCCGAAACAGAGGTTTTTACATGATTGATGAATGCAACGATAATTGTTACCTGAATTTCCAATTCCTTTGTCAATATGAAGCGTATAATACGGCTGTTTTCCCAGTCGAAAGTTCTGGAATGTTTCGTATACAGATGTTCCATCAGCAGCTTTCAGATCCAGTCTTAACTCCGTTTTTCCTAGTGATACCATTTCGTAAATATGCGAAAGGCCTGTGTTGGAATAAATTCCGCATATAATTATTTAACTTGAAATATACACAATAAAAGTTAAACTTTGTATAACAGAGTAACCAACGTCCCCCGCCTCTGGGTAGTTTTATATGAAGCATAAAGTTGTGCTATTTCAAAAGCTTGAGGTATGGATCTTAGGACTTTCAGTCCAAAATTATGATCATTGCCAGATCTGCAAATGTAACAATAAATTTATTAAAGAAATATAATGAAACACGGAATTTAAAAATCTATCATGTTAAGCTTTGACCTCTAAGTGTGACCTTGACCTTGGAGGTAGGGGTACATGTGTTGTGCATAACGTATCGTCTTAATATTGTAACTATTTGTGAAAAATCCCTTGAACTATGAAGAAGTTATAGATCGGACACAAAATATGCGCTATAACAGACTATGTTAATCTTTGACCTCTAAGTGTCACCTTGGAGGTAGGGACCCATATTTTGCGCCTGGCATATCGTCTAATTATTGTGATTATTTGTGCAAAGTATTTTAAAAATCCCTTGGTTTTTTAAAAATTTATGGCCTGGACACACCATATACCCTATAACAGACTATGTAAATCTTTGACCTCTAAGTGTTACCTTGACCTTGGAGGTAGGGGCACAAGTTTTACGCATGGCATTTCATCTTATCATTGTGACTATTTGTGTCAAGTATTTTCATTATCCCTTGATCTATGAAGAAGTTATGGACGGGTCACATAATATACCATATAAAAGACTCTGTAAACCTTTGACCTCAAAGTGTGACCTTGACCACGGCGGTAGGATTGCAGGTTGTGTACTTGTCGTCGTGTTATTGTGACTATTTGTACCAAGTTATTTCAAAATTCCTTGAACTATGAAGAAGTTCTAAACCGGACACAAAATATACCCTATAACAGACTATGTTAATTTTTGACCTCTAAGTGTGACCTTGACCTTGGAGGTAGAGTTGGGGGTGTTGCGCATGACACATCCTCTTATTATAGTGACTATTTGTGCCAAGTATTTTCAAAATCCTTTGACCTATGAAGAAGCTATGGACCGGACACAAAATATACCCTATAACAGACTATGTTAATCTTTGACCTCCAAGTGTGACCTTGACTTTGGAGGTAGGTGACCGGTTGTTGCGCATGCCACATCGTCTCATTATTGTGAACAATTGTGGAATCCCTTCAAAGTTATGGACCGGACACGACATATACCCTCAAGTAGACAATGTTGACCTTGAATGAGCAAGTGCGACCTTGACCTTGGTGGTAGGGGTCTGGTTGATGCGTATGACACATCATCTTCTTATAACAAACATTTGTGCCAAGCTATTTCAAATTCCTTTGGTAAATGACATAGCTATGTACCGGACACGAAAGTGTGACGGACGGGCAGACGGACGAACGGACATACAGACGGACGGAGCCTATTTCTATATACCCTTTTTTTCTTTGAAATGGCGGGCAATAAAACTTCTGAGTTGCGCTGGCTGATCAAATTAACTTGTTAAGTGTTCATGTGTTACAAATACGTATACATAATTAATATAACTTGATATTGTTTTATAAAACGGAATCCTTATGTGGACAGACAATGAGACGGAAGAATGGACATAAGTAGTAAATCTCTTTTAAATTGCTTGAAAATCTTGTTGTCATCAATAAAAAGCACACACTTTGGCATTTTCTTCACGCTTTATATATAAGTAATTTTCTGAATTGTAAAATAATTACGATTTTGTGTGTGAAATATTGTCTGTGTAAATATAATCTGTAAAATGGTTCAAACGAGCATTTACAAAGTCAAATACATAAAAAATATTTATTTAGTTATTAAGTTAAGTTTATTATTTAATCTTACTTACCCAACCAAAATTCACTGTCAACTGAACCAAATCCTCTTTCAAAATCAATAAATGACTTATAGAAATCAATACTTCCGTCGAAACGTTTTTGAAAAACCTGTAATATATGTAGTATATATGAGTACATAAAAGGACAATTAATATGTAACTCATATTTATAAATCAAATGAAAATATTTGATTAAGATATTGTTCTTTCTGACAGAAGTGCACCATTTAATACAATCACTTTAACAATTCTATATTATTCATGCAATCCTTTTGTTTATTATGCGACGTTTAAGTTGAAAAACCTAAGGAACATAAGGAATTTCGTTCACAGGTTGTTATAAATATAGTAAAAGTTTTATTGGAATTTATTTGCATTATTCTGATGTTTTAACACTAGAATCATGTAAAACTGACCGTCCATCCACCGCCATCTGTTTCAAAATCACAGAACACGGGTATTATCAGCTTTGACTTCCATAGTGTTACATTATATACTCCGTCTTTACGTATATCGGTGTTCTCTTTTATTTCATAGCAATCTTTGTCTGAAATAATACGTTTTCTCAATTATTGATACGCCATAGCATTTGTTTTCTTGTTTTCAGGTTTCCAGTCAAGTAAACAAGTAATAAGCGATAATTTAATATTTTTTCTCCCCAGCGATTAAGACGACTGTATTTCAATTAAAAAAAAAAGCAAAAAGGGACACACTTAATTTCAGAAAGTATGTGTTGGAAATATATTTATTCACATACAGTGATGTTTTGTTAAAGTAAAGTGTTCGAATTAAAGCAGGTCATAAGTCAATAGTAGGATATTTTTCTCATAATTATATAATACTGGTAAATGATATAAGATATACTGGGTACTTTAGAACTATATTCCAAACATATAAATCGGTATCTACAAAGAAGAAAAACATTCACAAAGGACTACTTACAGGTTTCTGGGATGTCGCATTTCTTTTTTTCTGTTAAGTCTCCTTCGCAACCACCGCTAAATAAATTCTTCAAGCATGTCCTGTTTCTTGTTTGTACTCCTGATGAGCAACCTTCACTCCAATCATTCCAGTTTGTCCACACTCCTGCATAATTTTATAGGGGCTACACTGAGGTCTGACGGGTAATTTGGTGTCCAAAAAAAATGTATACAAATTTCCCCACAAATCACAATATTATGACTAAAATAACAATAACTTACACTTTAACCAACCCTCTAACAACAATTATGCTAGAAAATGCATTTTCACATTAGCTTTTGATGCAAAATGAAAGTTGGTTTTCCTAGACATGTACAGAAGTTACCCACAATTCATCGGGTATAACTAAAATATGCAACGGACATTTTTGGAACAACAGAGTAAACGGGGGTAAAAAAGTCTATCGATTTTTTCTCAACTCTCTAACCTATCATGTTTAAATAACTTGAGTATAACGAAGAAAAACTGTATAAAAGATAATCAAGGTAGCAATTTCGTAGTCTTGAAAAATCAAACGCCAGCGAAGCGGTCATTTTCTAGACAAAACGGAAAGATATTATATACATGTACAATTATTTTCATTGACATTTCAGTTTCAATTTCAATATTCTAAGGCAAACATAATGCATCGGTGATATTTATACTAAAACAAGCACAGTGTAATCACACTAATAAAAGTATTTAACGCTATCTATAACGTATTTAAATCAAATACAGTTAATGACATGTCTCATTTGATTTGATTGTTTGTATTTGGGATGGAGTGGGGGTTGCGTCACACAAAACTGTGTAGGTCATTTTTGCGACTCTTCAGTTTTACTGGTGGAGGAAGAACTCAGGTGCCCCCTTTGCAAAATTGTTTCTGGCACAAACGGGCATCTGTGTATGTAATGAGTGACGTTTCGTAGGCTATCTTGATAGGATCGTACATACACGTTCCACACACAATTACATCATATTCATACCATAGGCAAAATTAAATGCACGTTTCCTATTGTAACAATATGAAACCCCAGAAAAAAACCTATGAACTAGCTTCTGAATGTGGCATTTCTATCGTTATTCCATAAAAGCACCCCCACCCCCCAAAAAAAAATGAATACATCAATGGGCATGCTCTGGAGTGTTGGTATTTATTACCTGCACTCCAGTTACGCACTGTGCATGTATATGAATTCGATTTAACTCTGACACGTTTTCAACAAAAAAGTCTTCAAACTATGATACAATAAATGTTTATGATTCTATTAGAAACTTGTTTAGAATTTAATGATTTTTTGGTGAAAACGATATAGTTTACTTGTATTACAGATAAGATCAAAGTGCTGAAGGCACTGAAGAAAAAACGGATAAACTATCACATTTTCACTCCAGTTTCACAGGTAAATTAATTTTATATGTCGCGGTTTACATCTAAATATCAGCTAACCTTTGCTTTTTGAGACTTTTGTTTTTGAAAATAATCTAAACGAGTAAAATAAATCCTCTTTTATAGGCAATAATTTAATAAGTAGCATCCCCGATTTCTCTTTCATAAATTGGCTTTAGCAAATTCTTTTCTATTCAAATATTAAGAACATTCTGTCAGTGACGTGTCCTCTACTTGAAATCTTACTGTGTATTTTCGGTAACAGGAAGAAAATGGCAGTCTGTTCGTATCATTCGGTAACAGGAAGAAAATGACAGTCTGTTCATTTGATCTTGACTGTGAAAAATCATGTTTTGTGAACCAATTTATCCTGCCGATAAAGATTTTGCAAGCAATCTGGTGGTTTATGTTCTAGTGCTTACACTTAATTTTTAATTCCAAAGAACATTTCTTAGGAGACCTTTAACGTTTGATTACGGTATAATCACTATAATCGAAATACTTAGGAATTAATTTCAATTCCTGATACTGTGAACTTTTTCGTTCACGTGTTTAAAATACTTAAGTAGCTCTAAAATTTTCAAAACGATATCCAGTATTTCCGAAACAATTTACAAAGGCTTTTAATACACAATCTTATGAATCTTAAAGTATTACGAGAACCACCCATTTAATCTCCAGAAATACATACGAAAAACAAGATAAATCAAAAGGCTGCAAGCTCTGTGGTATTTTCTGATCTTTGCAATATAAATCGCACTGTACAACTGTATTATTTTCCTGTATAAGTTTATTTTTATGTACTATAATTCTTCTTTTGGTACCAGAGTTTGAAACATTTTGCATGACTAGAGTTGCATCAAAAATCATTTATGTTCATTTTTATGACAGCCACACTTTATCCTTGCATATCGTGGCTATTTCCTTAACAAAGAAACTTTATAAAAACAATTGCCTTGAATTGGATTTGAACCCCAGACACACTAAACGAGCGCGTTACCCTTGCACCACGGAGAAGATATACGAACAATGCCTGAATAAAATCAAGTAATACTAAATTTAGATTTTTCACTGCATTTCGGGTTAATTTCGAGGTTTTTTGTTTCAAGATAAACCTGTCCTTTAACATTGATGTAAATAATTTAACAAAAATATTCTCGCCAAAACAGTCCGACATGTATATATTCCACTACTCGACAGTCAGATTTATTTGTGAAATAAGCTCTCGACATCGCTTAAAATAGCATTTTCATTGATTAAAATGATATTCATCCGCGTAATTTGTGAATGTGCATTCATTGACAATTCTATAAGCCAAAGCTACTTTTTAACTTTGAATGCGTTGTAATTTGTTGGATACTTATAACAAAATGAAAATATTTCTTTCTTTTAAATCGGTAGTTTTCAGGTGTTTTAAGAACTGTTTGTTGTTAGATTTGTCGTGAAACCGCTGTGTCAGAGATTGAATGTTAGCTTTGTATTTCCTAATCTTCGATCAGAAATACAAAAAGGAATGGTAACATTCAATGAATACAACACCCACACGACCAAGCAAAAACAGGACCACAGCTAAATTATCAATGAAAACATTAATTTCAGGCTTTCAAGTGGTAAATAAAAAGAATAAACAACAAAAATGAAAAACAGGAAGAAAGAAGAGACAAAAGTAGAGAAAAGTAAAGGTTTTCGTGCTATAAAGAAAGAAAAGTAGCGTTCTCTCCGTTACTTATTTATGCAATGAAATGCATCCGATCAATATTTAGCCATTGTAGTTTTTGAAACCAGTCACTCGTGTTTTCAAAATAGTCGGGAAATGAACCCGACTTTTTTTTATCAAAACATTTACAAAACTATTAACAATGAGTATGCCATGATAAACAGGCTATAAAGAGTAAAAACAATGGTTTATATATGCATTGCCCTTTACCGTCTAGGAGTTGGAAGTATTATAAAACATAGTTTAAGCAATGGTTGTTGTATGAGGTGAGGTTAATAATATCTTACTGAATTCTTAAAGTTACTTTTACTTACCTGCCCTTCACATTTGTCTTGCTGTATCATGATTTTGTTTGTTTCGTTTAATTTGAAAGAAAGTTAGGGTTTAAAAAACAACAACTATATAATCAGTTTTAAGTTTATTTCACTAGTCACGGCAATAACCCTGCTGTGGAAGCTTGACTATGTCGGGGGCTGCGTCATGTGAACGTTGCCGTCGCCTTGATTGTCTTTATTCCAGTTTTCCTTTTTCACTCTTATAACGCTCTCAATTTCTTTTACACCGGGAAGCTTTCAATATATTGGTAACATTAAAGCACAGCTCAATTGACCCATCACTAGTACGGAGGCCTTCCAATAAGAAAAAATTTATCAGGATATCTGCTAAATCAATAATGATAATAATAATATTAATAGAGCCAGATTGTAACTCTTTCCGACCTTCTTGATAATGTTTACCATGTGCATGAAACAGGTATCAATTACCTATAGTTTTGAATGTCTAGATCAAAACATAGTAATATTTTCATCAACAAAGTTTTACATCCAATGCGGATAAATATGCAAGTATGTATGTAAAATGATAAATATTAAAATTTCAGATCTATCTAGCAAAGGAGATCGATTTTTTCTTTAAAGAATTTTAATTATGTGCACTAGACATACATTAGAAATATTATCTAATAAAAGTTGAAGCCTAAATGTCCTATAATGAGGCCGGATTCATTCTCTATTTAGCCAGTGCTTTCAGTTCTTTGATCAGAGTTAAAGAGAAAAATTCTGGAATAACATTCTGTGTGTGCATGTGATTTTTTATGCTTACAATACTCAAATTCATGTTCGTTGTATAAAAGGTATTACGAAGTTTTTTTTCCTGAAACGGGTGTCAGATAAACCAAAGTGACCTTTGAAATAGGACCCATTACACTGATTGACAAAGTAAATTTTCTTAGCCTAGATATCATGATATTTTAACCATTACAAAGTTAATACATAATATTTAATAATTACACGAAAGCTCTCAAATTAACATAGAATATTTGTAAAATTGTGTATGTCAGTTTCGAACTCCGTACGTTTAGCTAAATTCATCATTGTAATGGAGAAAAAAACATGATTACAACAATGTAATGCTTTAAATATATTGAAATTGCTTTTGAAAGATTTTTCTCACAAGAACATATGTGAACAACAAGAAATTTAACAAACAAACTCATTATTTGCTTTTAAATTTATGGATTGTTGGTATATTCCGGTTTCGCACTTTCGTTGCTGCCGATACACAAAAAATTCTCCGTTCGCTTTTTAGTCATCCCGAGAATCATCACGTGACCGTTGTTTTTATTCAGATTTGCAAACTGAAAGGTGTTTTAAACGCTTTTCCCACAAAATTGGAGAAAATATGTATTTCAAACGACTTGCCAATCCAAAGAACACATATCAATGTATCACTGATTCTGTTTGAATGTCCCTAACTCGCAGGTAACAAAAAAATATCGGTTCGTGAAATTTTACTTTTTTTTGTGACATTCGGCCGTACCTCAGTGGAGTACCTTTAAGAATTTCAGGATATTTATGAGATCGATCATCATATAAATAATCCTTGATTCTTTGCAGAAAAAGATTCAATTGTCAAACAAGCTAAAACACATGTTACTCTATAAAAGCTAGGAGACGTCAATAATCATAGGAGCTAAAATATTAGGCAAAAACAAAGTTAATGCTTTGGTCTTAAATTAAGCTAAATATCTTATTTAATTTATACAGAATTCATTTTAGTTGAATTATGTATGAAGCTGTAAGCTTAGAGACACACTCTCGAATCTATTCCAGAATCAAACCGTTACTGAGCAACACGTTCCTGCTCAAGGAAACAACGGCTTGCCCCTAAAAGTGTTAGATTACAAGTCCGACGCGTTTACCACTCGGTCATGCCGCCACTTTGATTGTCCTCGCTGCCTATTTCAACACAGACTTTTAACATACATTTTGCTCGTGCCGTTTAATAAACCTTTGCTCTCCCTTTTTTAATACATTCCTGTATAGTTTGTATACCAACAAAATATTATAGCTATCGGAAATAAGAAGTTACAATAATGTTAAAAATAGAGAGGGTATTTTTACCGACACACAATCCTTTGTAACACAATTGGTCTTTTAGGTTTTGCCCAATGCAATGGAGACCACCATTGTCTGGAGTTGGGTCTGTACAAGAACGAGTTCGACTTTGAAGCCCGACGCCACAAGAAACCGAACATTGTCCCCATTTTGACCAGTCAGTCCATCCACCATTAACTTCCAAAATAAAGTTATATAAGAGAAGGCAAAATGAAAAAAAAAATAATATAATGATGATTAATATATAAGACCGCTAATGTCGCACATTTATGTTTCAATACCGCTATATGTAGTGTTTTGTTTGTACAAATCAGCATGCAAATTGTTATAAAAGGAATGATATTGAGTCACTTTATTTGTTGACTTTCTTTTTTGACACATATTCTGCTCGTGTCGTTCCATTTATCTTGGCTCTCCACTATTAATACATTCATTTATAGTTTGTATCATAATTAACAGTGATATGTACATGTAATAACAATTTGAGACACAGGCTTACCTGCACAAGTTCCATTGTTACATAATTCATCTTCAATATTGTCTCCAAAACAATGGTCCCCGAAACGCTGTGGACGTGGATTTGTACACAGTCGTCTACGAGTTCGCATTCCTACACCACAAGTTGCTGAACATTTTCCCCAAATATCCTATGAACTCCAACCACCATGTACTGTTATAATTCAAAATGCAATAATCCCGATTAATAAGAATATTCAACAGCCGTAAATGCTATGTGCGTATATATTTGAAAAATATCAAAGCCCACCACAAAAGGAGAAATTCAATGACAAGGGTCTCACGAATGACTTATCTTTGACGAAAACATTGAGACTTGAATTATTACAGATACAACCTGAAATATTTACATGTATATATAATCGCAACAACACGGGACACCAAATAATAAATATCAACAATAACGATCCTTCATAAAGAAAAAAATCTCGCTGAAGTACTAACTACATGAAATGAAATTGACGTTCTACATGGATCTGTTATATCAAACGAATCATTAGGACAATAAGATCAATATAATTTATATGAGCATGCTTACCTGGACATAACTTCAGCTTACAAGGTTTAAGCTCTCTTCCTTTCCCTGGACAGTCAAGACCGCCATTTTGCGGTGCTGGATTGGTGCATGTGCGGTGGCGTAATATAGATCCTATTCCGCAAGTGACATCACATGATGACCATGGTGACCAAACAGACCAACTTCCATCAACTTCAATTGTAACAATAAACATGTATCTAAAGTTACGAAATGTAAACAATAAAGCAACTATAGAGTTCTTAAGGATATCGCAACACATACTTTAAGCACAAACATGACACATTCGCTAATACACATGAGTGATGATGTCGTGTTTAAAAATAATTATTTGGTATAATTGTTGATAAAGTTACCTTGAAATTGTCTGAACTGTCGTACCATTAAAAGTTTAAAGTAACGTAATTGATGAAAGCATGCCTTATAATTCTTTAACATATTTTTAATAAGACAATTTCTGTTTGAGCATTATTAAGCGGTGAAGGTCACACTAAGAAGTCAACTGATAGCTGTTGGAACATCTTGTCTGGTCCATAACTTTGTCAATATATAAAGGGATTAAAAAAGATTATGCACAATGAGTAGCATGATGAGGCGGTGTATCACGAATGAGGCTTAGGCATTTAGCTTTAATGTCAAGGTCACACTAAAACTTAGAGGTCAAATGTCAACAGTTAGAAAATCTTTGCCGGCTTTTAACTGTCTCGATCAAGATATTATTTTCACTTCACGATTTGGCATTCTTGTTAAGTATGATAAAACAGTGTGTTATACACAAGATCTAGACCTTTGGCTCCAAGGACAAGGCCATACTCAGGGGTCAATAGCTAGAAATCTCTTATCCGGCCAATAACTCTGTCATGCTAGTCCGCCGCCTATGGTTTATCAACTGATACTGACTATGGTTAAAACTGATAAAAGCTTAAATGCTGATAGATTTATGTTGATTCATTTTTCAAAAGATTTTGAAAAAGTAGCACTAATGTAAAGCAATATGAAACAGAATATCATGCGCAATACCAGAACCCCTAGCTCCAAAGTAAATTTCACTCTAACAGGTCAAAGATCAGCACGTAAAAAATCTTGCCCGGGAAATAACTCTGTCATGCATCAAGGGATTTTGAAATCAGTCGGCAAAAAATTAAACATTATGATTCATTGTTATCCTCGCAATTATGATAATGTTTGGTTGTAGGTCACACTTATACAGTATAGATCATATGGCGACGTTCCAGCTTTACTTGTAGAAGAAGACCTCAGGTGCCCTTCAGTGCATTATTTCTTATGATAATAAATACTTCACTTTGACAAAACAAAAATTTTAACTTAATGTGTAAAAACCTATTTGATTCATATTATTTTTCAACTTTATGCTTCAGTACAGACTAAACTAAGAAACTGCCATATGTGGCTGCTTTGTGAATAATAGAAAAAAGTTTTCATTAGCAGCCATCTGTCTTCATACTTTTAAAGGTATTTTATTTAAATGAAGTCTATGAAATACCGACTATGTTGTCCTTTTATATCATCTTTATCAA